ACCTTTTTCTTTATAAGTTTTAAACCTATTCTATAACTAATTTCCTCTTATACGACACCTTAATCCAGGATATATTTTTTCTTTTAAAATCACAAGCATAACTTCATACAATCTTTAAGATTATCCGTAAATTGTTACGTTAACTACTGTCGATGCGCAATACATAATCATCTTGATCCTTGTTCTGAGAAAAATATAAACAAACAGCCAGTGTGAATATTGCACACTTGCATCTTGAGCGTATTATAATTGGTCGTTCTACTTCAGTCGGATGTTGCATAAAATAAATAATACGATAGTAAGTCTAACGACATAATTTCTAGTGTAATATATGGTATAAATGAGTGTGATTACGGGATATTGTGTGTTAGGGCCCACGTCTTGTATATTTATTGCTGGTAATGCTATTTCTCTACTATGACGCGTTAACGTTATTTTTTTTTCTAAATGAGTTCATTACACGACATGTAATATAAAGAAATATAGCAACTGGATTTTTTTTATTTATTTATTTACTTTGGGCTACTTTATGGCCCATATAATATATTACACATATAAAAAAATATCTGTTATAAAAGTTCAATAAGTATGTGTACATACAATTAAAGTTATTGTCAAGGTAAATGCATGTTGCATTACGATCATTCTCATAGTGTAATAAATTTTATTTTTGTATTGTATTAATGTATGATACTACACTACACTACTTCTGAAACTTATTAATTCTAATCTTATATATCTATACTACATACTCGTATAATTCAATTATTTATATAAGATTTTATACTAAAATGTTATATCTATGCATAGATCTACATATGTATAATGATAAATAGTTATGCCTACGTATGTATAACTCTATTCTAGTCAATTCGGCTAATTTTATTTTATTATTTTGTCACCAGGCAATTTTTTTGTTGGATGATAAATGAAACAACGCACACGCCTGCGCAGAAGGTATTTACTGGTCAGACACCAGTAGAGGATAGTAGAATGATCAATCAAGTAAGTCTGGCCAGACAGACCATTATCACCTGACTATTAGCAAATATAGCACTAAGTATGTAGATAGTTAATACTATATATTAAATATATACTATATATAAATAAACAATATTAAAAACTGGCCCAATTCTGACGATATTACATTCTAAAGAGTATTACTAAACCTAAATAAAAGGTAAAAATCCATCAACACTCCTACAAACCGGATTAGTAGGTCCCTGACAGTGTGCGAGTTTTTATTAATTCTCATTATTTAAGTAAACGGCCAAAAGGCCGATCATTAATCATCACGATACCATTCATCATTAATGTTAGCCTGTGAATACTCAAAACCAGCAATTTCCATATTTTCATTAATTAAACATACGTTTCTTGCAGCAATTAGTCTTAAATTGAATGTATCGCTGTGTTCATCTTACGTTAGAAATCTAAAAGCAGAAACAATTATTTAACCCGTTGCAGACGTGGTGTAGCACTTTTGGCCACGGGTGTACAGATTGTAGGTTGACGGGACCGTGTGCCAATGGGTGAGAGTTCGAACTCGAGGAACACAATTGTGGCCCGTCAACGCTGCGCTTTCGTGTGACCGTTCTCATGAATTGTAACTCAGTGACCCCGATTCGTGTACGAAACAATTTTTAGTTAACCCCACCATAGCTTGTTGAAATAAGGTTTCATAATAATATTACATTTTCACAGGTAAGACAGTAACAACTTAAATCATCGTTCCTTGCTTGTTTCGTCCACATTCATAATCCATAAGCTTAATTAATATATTTATTAATGAAAAATTGCTTTTTAAATTTGTACAATTAATGAAAGTAAATTAGATCATAAAATATTTCATATATTTTGAAAAAAAAAACCAATTGTTCGATACAAGCTTCAATTTGAGAAACCATTATCACAAAAAATTGATGTTATACTAAAATATAAGTAATTTCATTAAAATGATTTTAATATATATCATAGCATAGCATATCAGAAAGTCAAACATTAATCACAAAAATTGAAAAAGAAAATATGATGAGTACTTATATACTTATAGTAATTTTAATGAAATAAACTTAAACGACATGTATACGATCAGACCCGCGGCTACATTCGCAGGGTTAAGAAATTACAAGGCTTGTGAATGCAGTAGTTATTTCAGTATTATTCGAATACAGGTAGTTAAGTCGCGAGTTGATGATTAATTCGTCCGTTTCATGGAGTTTTTGTTCCACAATTAGGCGCGAGGCACGCGTGCCTCCGTCCAACTCGCACGTCGCCATATTGCGTGGCCGGCCACTCCGTTGTTATATACTAATATTAACGAGTCGCTCGCACTAGTTCCGTTCTTGATAATTTATAGTTAATTAGGAACTTTATTTATAAATTTCGACGTATTTACGTTCAATTTAGCCTTCTATGATATAAGAGCTGAGATTATGGAACACGGATAGCAAAAACCGGTTGGACGTTTTATTGTTTGGAATGCGTAAACCACATTTCACGCTTTGACCTACATAATTAGCTTTAATATAACAAACTGTTCCCTGGTACGTGGGTACGATAGCCATCAGTCCCTGGGCTATGGGAAAGCCAATTAGGTGTATTTTTCGTCAGAATCGGGTCCATTCATCACCGAGCCACGCCCGCTTCGTTCCGTTCTGTTGCCGTTCTGACTCCACCACTCCGCTTAATGCCACTAATATACCCTCGTCTTTTTAATTTAACCTAATTATTAGAAGTACTTATTATATAAAAATAATTATGACTGCAACTACCTTCTATAACATTTATTACTCTTGCACAAAACATAGGCCTTACGATCAAGAGGTCCATAATTCTAATGTGACAATTGCCATCCCTCCAATCGAACATACTATATTTTCTATATAACTAAACTAGTCATATAGAACTAAAATATTTATTTATAAAATGTATACTCATAGTAGACAGCCTACATCTATATAAAGTGAAAACATGTAAGAAAAATACTCTTCATAATCACTTTAATTGACCGCTCCTAATCACCCTGATATATAGATATGATATGTAAAAACATTCATAATCATTAATACAAATGTTTGTTCCATTCGAGGTATCGAACCCGCGACCATCGGAAATACGGTAATGTGCTATACGGCTATGTATCATTTAGTAGGTATAAACAATATACAATACAATAATATTTACATGACTACTAGTAAACAAAATACTACAAAACTTGCATCTACACAACGTTGTACTATCGAATGAAATCAATTACTACATCACCGATAACGTCAAATTTTAAAACCTTCATAACATAACTGTTATACTCGATTTACCTACCAATCTTACTACTATACTAGAACTGCATTACTGTAAAAAGTAAATACTACTACGGTTCAGGTTACAGTGGTTGTTAGTATGACATTTGCATTGGGCAGCACCTGCAGCGCGGAGGTAAGTAGCCGGGATGCCGGCTGACACACCATGTGCGACTAATTTGTTGCCAACGCCACATTACCGTCACCACCGACGCCCGAGGTGTCGCGCAGACCGGCAATTTTACAAGTAATTCTATAAATTGCCGCACGCAAAAGGAAATGGTGTGGGTGACACAATCATCCCGAACGACTCTGATGGATAATTGACGCGAAAATGGGATTGACGTGTGTTTATTATTTTATGGACTCGTTAATATGAAATCTTTATGTAATTGTTCACTGGTCTAAACGTTGGGTTTGTACGTAATTCTTGAGGTTATATTATAAACTCAGCAAAAACCTATATATGTGCAATTTTTTTAGGAACTACGAACGACACGATATATGATAGTGTGTATAATTAGGATACTAAATTTTCACACGCCGCGCCGCCGCGCCGTCCTGTTTTACCGCGCTATTATCAGTATAGTGAATTTTAACTTTCAAAATTACTAAGTATCATGTAATAAGTAATCATATCATGCCTCGGTTTCATTAAGTGTATGACCATGATGACCATGACCATACCTGTGTTTTACAAGTCTGGGCTGCTAAGCCCAGACTTGTAAAACCCACGTAGATTTGTGCAAAATCTCTCTCGGTAAAGTTTCTACCCGACTTTCTATTGATCACGCATGTGATAGCAATATTCATATCCAATTGTAGATATATTTTCTAATATAATTTCCTTACAAATCACAAAATAAATGCTTTATTGTTATGGATTGAAAAGCGCAGTGTTATGACAAAGAAACGAGACGAGAACGTTTTAGTAGATGTAGAGTAAAGCCACAGCCGGAGCTCGTTAGTGCCAATGATCCCTGGAGCGACCCGTAAATCAACTGTTTTACGTCAACACTTTATAGCTCATTCAGACTCCTCGGCCGCTTTATCACCTTGTTCCTGGCAATACAACCTTAACGCAACGTTTACTCATGTACCAATTGGTACTGTGTCAAGTCCAACTTTATGACAATACAACTTATTGACTCGCTTTGGTCAATTATTATTAACTTCATATGTAATACATATGAAATTTATTGTTACCATTAATTGTGCATATAATCCGTATTACGCCACCTATATTCAGTATTAAGCATTACGACTATGAACTCATCTATCTCGTTTGATTTTTAACCTTTTTCTTAAATACACGACAGTTTGACATTCCCACCTTCCCACCTTCGACTCAAAAACCTTGCCTGATGGCAATTTTTGTATAATCTAATAGAATATCTCTGTCATATTTTATTCTTTGGCTTGTATTTGCAATACTTATTGTTACTAAAAAATATTCAACCAGACTTGTGACAGAAATACAGAAATTCTTTTAAGATTATTATTATTTTAGGAGAAAGTATTCATTTTGAAATGGTTGTGTTTTAATCTAGTTTATATTAGTATATTTGGCCATTTTTATCTCTTTCCCAATTTTTTAAAAAACCTAATCGTGCCATTTGAATATTTCTACATTATAGGCCAACCTGCAATTATATAGAAACAAATATAGGTATAAAACTTCCAAATTTTTATACTGACCTGTCCATTCTTATCCATTTCATTGTTGGTGAGTTTGACCTTCTCAAAAGAGACGACTTGCTTTCTCAGCTGATCACCGGAGAAGGGCGAGTCAGGGTGTGGGTAGAGGCGCGCAGGGGCTGGTGGGTCTGCCTTGCCGGCGACCAGCCACGAGGAGCGGTGGTACGCGTACCGGTACCGCTTCCCGTCCACCGGTACCACATCCAGCAGCACCGCGTACCGCGCCTCCGAGCGACACCCCGCAAACGATACACGCACCGTCGGAAACATGCGTCTGTGTGACAAATAAATTTTATTATACACAATGAAATATTCAATGTTGTAAAAAGTTTATTTTATTATGTAAAACATGAAGTTATTACAAAAATATTTTTTTACGATTATTGCGACAAATTATGACAGCACGAAACTCGTAGCTTTCAACCATAAATTTAGAACGTCTGCGCCGCGGACACGCTGCGCTAATGACCTCATAAGAACCGACAGAAAACTAAATTAGACATTAAGAATCAAAAGCTTATAAAGCCCGAAAGTGTTTTACGAGACCAAAACACATGCTCGCAATAAAAAAAGATGATTAATGCATCTTAACAAAAACTGCCAGAGATCCGGCCGCGGACGGTGACTTGTATAATTATAGGGTAAAACGCGAACTAGGAAATCAAACAAATATGATGTATTCGATTTTAATGCACCCTTAAATGGGCCGAAGCGCTTCCTGCCGGCCGGGGGCGATAATATCTCGCCACCGATTATTTATGACGCAATCTTCCATAATATTATTTTTTATAATATTTAAACGTCACTTTAGTAATTTCGAAACCCAAACAAGTAGTCGGAGGCTTGTCAGATTAGATAATCGTTGACTAACAATTTGTCCGGTTGTCTTAACGCGATCGGACGTTCTGTGCACCGCGCCACGTTTGTTTCTGTACCTTTATAAATATTTTAAATATCGAGTTGACATAACGATACTCGGAATTTATTATTGAATTCCTTAAGTGCGAGCAATAAAATCCAGGAGTGAAAGAAAGAATTATTAGCACCCATAAACTACGGACGCGGTGTCAAACTATCTATAAGAAAAGTATGATAATAATAAATAGAAGAGACCTATAAAATTCTGAACGCACGTGGGGACCGCGACGATGATAAAGCACGGTGTATTGAAGCCTCCGTTGAGAGTTAAGCACTAGTCATAAATAAATCGTATTAAGGTATGTCTTGAATGGTGGTTCCGTATCGGCGGAGCGGGATCTCTCGTCGCGTACGACAATAAGTCGCTGTCACCCGCGTTTATGAGCGTGTCATTAGGGCGAGAGTTGCGCGACATCGCAGCGATGCTGTGCCACCCAGCGCGGCCGCCTAATGAGCCGCATCCATCACGGATAACAATCGATACCAATACAAATTCCTCCGGTGTGCCACGTGACATCATACTAATTGAAATGTTTGCAAACAATATGTTGCACGTAACATAGTTGTAAAGACAATCATGCGTTCTTTTTAACTTCAGTAACTGTTTCTATTCGCTTACTACATATTAATAACGGTAAAATTTGCTTTATTAATATATAAGTATTTAAGTTTTACTGACTTTGAACTCATTCCAAGGGGCTCTTGATGGCTATCAAATTGAATATATACCTTCATAACATGTGATATAGAGAAGTCTATATGCTACTGTTTATACTGATCAATCAATACTTCTTGTATTACTGATGACGGACGTAGTCGCGTGTAAAAGCTAGTTATAAAAACAGACAGGTACCTACCAAATAAGCTATATTTATCTGAACAAAATAAAATAGCATTGATGTTTTGGCAGCTAATATATCTGTGGTGAACGTAACTCTAACATATGAAATTATTCTCACATTTTAAAATAAAATGTTGTAAATGAATGGTGTTCGCAGCGGGACCACGATCAAGCTGCCCAAATATTATAGAAACAAAGGCAAACTATTTCATATTAATACGGCTTTTCGTAAGTAATGATATTGACGTACGCCGGCGGTTGGTCGAGCCCATTTACATAATTCATTAATAACCGTCCGCCCGAGATGCCCTCAGATAAGCTTTAACAAACACCAATTGGAAACGTATCTGTGCAAGGTGCGCGAACTTTCCAAATAAACTTAATAACGCACGAGTGAAGTCGTCTAGTGTAAATGTTATTCTAAAATTACTCAGCAATCTGCTCTAATAATATAAGTTACATATTTAAGAAGAATTTCTTTATAATACCTATATTTCAACAGAATATCTTTTAAAGTTCATTTATGATGTATAAAGAATATTCATCAATAAAAGTAAGAAATCTGTCAAATATTAAAATTTCAGTTACATTATTTTTCTTGGGGATAAATTTTGTTTTAGTTAGTGTATTGGCACAAAATAATTTAGTAGTATTTTAGAATTATGTTGTCTGTGGTAGTATAAAATAAATTTTACCCTGATAATATAATCATTGGGGAAATGTAATTATTAACATAACCTAGTTAATTATGAATTAATAAATTATTGTGTATTTTACTAAACCAGAAGAATAAGGACCCTAATAATAGTCTTACATAATTCTTTCACTTGTATACAGTTGTGGTAAGAAACCGCAGCCTGTGACATGGTACGCATGAAAGAAGCCTAATTTGAGCTGAACGAGGAACGCCAATTACGCGTCACCGCTTCCGGCCCAAGGCGCGATGTTTGCCTTCAAAGTGTGGTCTATAAGAAATATTTATATTCACTCGTCATTCATCGCATATGATGGGAGTCTATTGAAATAAAAGACATGCGAGTAATTTAGCGTCAGTAACTGTGTCAATTAATTATATTCTGCCATTATTATAAAGTAAACATAGAGACAATTAACCTTAAAAAAATTAGTAAATACAGATGGCTGAATATCATTTAAAGGACAGCATTCTATGGGGAGGCGAGCAGTGGGCGAGCAATGAATGGCTGAAATAATAACGGTATTTATTTATATGAAAGAAAATAAATAATATATATGATATACATATATATGGCGTAATGAGACTAATATCAATATTATAGTTGTAATACAACGTGGATATTTAAATCCTATTAATATTATAAACGCGAAAGTTTGTGAGTAGGTATGGTTAGATAAACGGATGGATGTTTGTTACTCTTTCACTTAAAATGTACTGAATGCATTTTAACGAATCGTTACAACAATATAAGCTATATTGTTGTAAAGATTCGTAAAGATACATTAGAATAAATATAGGCTATAAATTTCATGCGGGTGAAACCGCGAGCACGGCTAGCATATCATCGGCTAGCATAGCATATCATCTATACATAAAATTATACAAGATATACCTATATATTATATAGGTACTTAAAATTCTATAATGTAAGGAGTGCTTGTAATTTTTAATGGAGTAATTTCTAAATTATTAGTAACAACAATAGTTATATTTATTCTAAATTGTAATGTAGAAGCACTTAATTCAAATTACATTTTCAAAAAAATTTACAGCAGTTTCTATTAAATTCTATTAAACACACACCCTTACCGTTAGAAACCCTATTCTGTTCTTATAATACTAGATAGGAGCCAGCATAATTTTAAGTCTGTTTCATGCACAGATTAGATCTAGTATGACAGGTTTGATATACTATAGCAATTATTAAAAATCCTGGCACTGGAAAACTAACAGCACATAATAAATAGTGTTATTATTCCCAACCGTCACAGTCACGCCACTGATGAGTTTCTTGTGTTGCGTGTAAAGGAAGCTTCTTATTGTTAGGTACGTTTGTAATCAACTTTTTCTTGTAATTAAACATAAAAATCGCTACATTATAGCCTCTTTATCGATTCAAATATTGGATACTTTTTGCTCATGAAAGTGAACAGTAATTTTATGGTTTTGTTTAATTCAAATTTATTAGCTATTTACCGTAAATCTATCAAAGTAATTGGACTTAATAATATAATCACGAAACTAAGTATCATTGTTATTTTAATAATTCCTTGACGCCTATCGGTATAATCAATCATAATTATCAAATTTTGTACTTGGTCAAGTCGATGAAGTTGTAAACTTGTAAACAAATATGTATCATTGAAAATAAGAATACAAACAAAAACTATATTATAACGGAAATATAAAATTACTATATATAATTTGCTCATAGACAACAGGTACCATCTACGTTATGCATTACGTTACACTGTAATTCGCATTAATACTATTGATATATCGTTACATTATACACCCTTCTCTAAACATGTAGAGATAATTACCTATAAGTGGGAACCTATTCATATAAAACGAGTTAAAAAGCCATCTACGATATAATTATTGTAATTAAAATGTAATAATACCTAAATAACTAAAGAAAATATATATCGTATGTGTAATGAACATAATGGCATCAATCAATCAATATAATATCAATCAATCAAGCGGGTGCTGTTTGGAATTTGCGACCGGTTTTTAGACAAGTCGCATATCTACTTATATAATCGAAAGTTCCCGATGGAGTGGACTCATTAATAGTGACGTAAATTAGTCCTAAGACTATCACTACTCAAACTATTGCTTACCCGCGGCAAACAAGGCGCGATTTAGTCCACCTTTTTAAATAAAACATACCCTATATTCGTACCGCACTTCTGATATATATATTTTATTTATTTATCTATCTTCATATTAAATTTCATTTTATCAAGCTATAAAGACAAGTGCCCAAAACAATTACAATTGTTCGAAAAAAACACTTTATGGTACAGGTACTCAGACTACCTACGAAAAGATAACAGACTGACAGATGGATATGCTTTTCAATGATATTAGCATGGATCAAAATTATTTTTTATTTAAACATTATAACCATCCCTAAAACATTCCACTACAGAGTACGAGTCTCTTTTTAAGTAAAAGAAGATTTTTTACCTGCCACTCATGTCAGGCTCCTTAGTGATATATCCAGTATATCCTTACATATATCACCCAGTATGTAAATCAGATTCTAAGACCAAATAATATGGTCAAATAAAATAAATTGACAAATTAAATCTCCGATAATATGAACATAGAAAGAAATTACTGAATAGCAGATATGACATCTTAATCCTCTGAAATGGCAACGCATGAGTTATATGATGGTGTCACACGATCTATATCGCTATATCTATATCGCTGATATATGAATAGATAGATTGACATATACAAATATATCTCAATGACCAAGGCAAATCAGGAGAGTAGGCAGTTAAAATCTACGTATAAATCAGAA